CTCAGCCTCCCGAGTAGCTGGGACTACAGGCACGCACCACCACGCCCAGCTAATTTTTTGTATTTTTAGTAGAAACAGAGTTTCACCGTGTTAGCCAGGGCGGTCTTGATTTCCTGACCTTGTGATCTGCCCGCCTTGGCCTCCCAAAGTGCTGGGATTACAGGCTTGAGCCATCGCGCCCTGCAATATTTCTTTTAAACCCGTATTTTATATTTTCCAGGGGAAAAAGTAAAAGCTAAAAAAAAAAAAAAAAAAAAAAAAGAGTATTATTAACTTTACAAACAGTAAGCCTCCTGCAACAGAGTTCATTCCCTTTAGGGGAGTCTGGACCATCCCCAGAATACTGAGGAAGGGCTTTCAAGGGCAGAGTCCAAGTTCAGTGGGGAGAAATGAAGGCAGTGGCAGGATATACACAACGTCATTACAGTAAAAGGCACTGTCAACAAACATCTTACATTTTTCAATTTAAATATATGTCTTCTCCCTTTTCCTTTGGTGGAAACTTTCTTTTCAGCAGCCGGAGCAGATTTGTATTTAGTGTTTCTGAGCCGAGCAGACCTCCTGTGAATTTCCTGCTTACTCTGTTACACAAATTAAAGAACGAAAAGAGAAAGAAGTAAGAAGTGTAGAAAGGTTGCAGTCCCAGTACAACAATCTTACAAGGATCCCGCAGTATGCACTTTATAAGAACATTCAGCAATTAAGAGTGCGCCTTTGCTTTTCAAACGGGATAATTATAGTAACTGGGCTAAAACTACAAGTCCAGCACCCCGAATCGGAGCTCGCGTGACAAGCCTCTACAGAGCCTCCCGAAGGTGTGAGCTGCTTATAATAGGGCAGGAGGCAGGAGTAGGAGTCAGTCTAGGCCAAGACAAAACCTATTCATTTGTTGTGTCTACAGGAGAAAAACACACAACTTTACTCCCTAAGGCCAGAGGCCTTAACAACTTTACTCCCCAAGGCCAGAGAAAGTATTAGGTTATAGCACCTCCTACAATGGAATATTTAAGCTGCCATTTACAGTAATGACAATAATCCTTACTTCATAACCTGATATGACAAAACCTTTATTAACAAGGAATGAGGTCCTGCATCTGTGGCACGACCCTGTTTACGACTGCGTAGACGTGTGTATACTGAGATTTTCAGAAGGGCTTTACATTTTCTTGCTTCCTTATGCTTTGAATTTCTTACAATAACAGGTGCTTCGGAATGGGCCAAACCAAAGATCTCAACAGGAGGTGGGGAGGCGTCCCAGCCCGGCAGGAGCATCGCGATCCGGGAAGCCTGTGCCCGCCCGCTCCCCGCCGGCCCGGCCCCGGCCCGCCTAGCGCCTATTCGGGAGAGGCCGGAGGAGCTCACCTGCTTGCCGCCCCCGCCCCCGTTGCTCTGCGGAGGGGCGGTGGAGGTGCTGGCAAAGTTCGCCGCGCCGAAGCCGCCGCCGCCGCTGCTGCCCCCAGTCCCTCCGGCCGCCCCCGAGCCGGCAGCCCCGCCGCCCGCGCCGCCCCGGCCAGTGCAGTGATGACAGAGGATCTCCCCCTGAGCGCCCTTCTTCCACATGGAGGACGACGTGGTCTTGCAGACGCTGCAGGTGGGCTTCAGGCCCAGCGGCATGGTGGCCGGCTCGGGCGGCCCCCGCGGGCGCAGAGACACGGGAATGGCGGAGGCTGGCCCGGCCGCCCACTGGTCGGCCAGCCACTCCCGGCGATAGTAAGAGCTGTGGGGCCGACGGCACCGAGCTGCCCGTGAAGGGACTAGGCCGCGGCCGCTGCCCTCTGGAGGCAGGAAGCGGTTCCGCCAGCTCTGCCGGCTCGGCGCCCAGCACCAGCCCCGGGAGGCCCGAGGCACTGGGAAGCAGGACGGACCTGGCGGGCGAGGAACGCCGGGCACCGGCCCACGGAGACTTCCGGCGATGAGCTGGCCCCAGGGCCCCACAGCCCGACCGCCTGACCGGAAGTGCAGCACCCGGAATTACTGGGAGCTTGCTGCAGTTCCACTTGCTGTCGCTCAGGGGCGCGTTTCTCAAACTTTTTGGTCTCAGGCCCAAAATTTGCCGGGTGAAATACGGAACACCCAATTAAATGTGGCTTTCAGGTAAACGACGGATAATTTTTTTTTTTTTTTTTTTTTTTTTTTGCACAAGAGCATTCTATGCAATAACGGTTTATCTCAGACTCGTTTAACTGGGAGTCCTGTATTTTTGTGTGCTAAATCTGGCAATCCAGGCCTGGCGTGGTGTCTCCTGCCTGCAATCCCAGTACTTTGGGAGGCTGAGGGCCGATTACTTGAACTCAGGAGTTCAAGATCAACCTGCCCAACATGGTGAAATCCCGTCTCTACTAAAAATACAAAAATTAGCCAGGCACAGTGGCGGGCTCCTGTAATCCCAGCTACACTGGAGCTGAGGCGGAAGAATTGCTTGAGCCCGGGAGGTAGAGATTGCAGTGAGCCAAGATCGCGCCATCGCACTCCAGCCTGGGTGACAGAGTGAGATTCCAAAAAAATGAAATAAATATCTCGCAATCCTACTCAGGACCCCTTTACACTCTTAAAAATTATACATCCTCCGATGTCTCCCCCAACCCGTCATTCTTTTGTTTAGGTGAATTCAGAGCATGCCATTTACGGACATCAACAAGGGGTTCAGAACATGTCATCCACTGACATTTACATATTAGAAACTGAAATTGAGACAGTTTACAGCCTAAGATGCCAGGCACACATTCTGCAGACATTAGGTAATATCGTTGCATGTCCTGTGGACTCTGAAGAGTATTCCAACTGGAGAATGTGAAGAAAATTTAATAACTGGTTTAGCATTGCTGGAAAACAGTTTTGGCTCTGAGGGCCCAGCCGTTGACAAATAGCTGGCCTGGGACAAGCACAGTATGAGAAGCCAGATTGCCTCTTTTAATGTCACTAGTCAGTACAGGTCTTGCCAGAGAAATCAGTCTCCTTCTCGGCCTCTCTTCATGATCCTGGGTTTCCTAGACTTAGTATCCTTGGAAAGATCTTGATGAATATACTGGGGTTGGGGGGGAAGCAGTGGGGAGAAACATTAAATGCCTATTATGTCACAAAACCACATTTAGTGCTTCTGACAGCCTTGGAATGAGATATTATCCCAATTTCACTGTTAATTGGTGATCAACAGAGACACTTCTGTGTGAACTGGATGTCATCATAGCTGCTGCCCTTGGCACCACTTTTGAGGAGAGCTTTGGAGCAGCCCCCTGGGGTGTGGTTTGTGGCTCAGTCAACCTCCCTCTAAGTTTCAGTTTTCCTAACAAAAATAAGTTTGTGCCGGGCGCGGTGGCTCACGCCTGTAATCCCAGCACTTTGGGAGGCTGAGGCAGGCGATCACCTGAGGTTAGGAGCTCGAGACCACCCTGGCCAACATAGTGAAATCTCATCTCTACTAAAAATACAAAAAAATTAGCCAGGTATGGTGGTGGGTGCCTGTAATCCCAGCTACTTGGGAGGCTAAGGAGGGAGAATTGCTTGAACCTGGGAGGCAGAGGTTGCAGACTGGGGGACAGAGCAAGTGAGAGACTCTGTCTCAAAAAAAAAAAGAGGGGAGGGTGAGAAGAAAGTTTTTCCTCACCTACAGTGTGAGAAAATCTAGGGGCTTGATTTCCATGCTCCTGAATGTCTCTCTCCATTTAGTAACATATACCTCTTCTTGCAACTCATCTGCAAGTTACTCCCTCTCACTCACCGAAAACTTTGGCCCATAGCTCACCAGCTTCCTCTCCACTACAAGACACAGCCATGGATCAGGTCAATATCCACATGTACAGTTGTCCCTCGGTATCCATGAAGGATTGATTCCAGGGACTTCTCCTCTTCTTCCTCCTCATCCTCTTGTTCTGATATTCACTCGGGGTGGCTGACCCTGACGTGATCGAGGGCACACTTTCGGATATAGAGGTCCAGGTATTTCTACATGCATTCCACCTTGACCCGGAACTGGTCTACACAGTCTTTCCCCTTGAGATCCTCTGCACTATAGTGGAAGCAGAAAAAGGCCAACTTGAACTGTTCCCCACAGGGGCCGCTGGCCATTCCCCCAAGGCACAGGCAGTTCCAGTTACTGTCTTCATTTGGCAGCGTGAGTCCGTGCTGAGTATGGATCACTGAGGTCATTAGCCACCAGCTTTACATTGGTTGGAGTTTTGTGATCATCTTTAGTCACAAATATGATTCCCTGCTTCCCTTCCTGTTGGCAGTGGGGCGTAGCTGCAGCATATACACCAGTGCTTAGACTTTGCAGAAGCAGCCATGGCAGCTGCCCCATATTTTTTTTTACAGCCTTTTAAAATTAAGTATGATGCTCATACAGTAAAGTACACAACTCATATGTGTACAGTTTATCACAAGCAACCACACCCAAGGAACCAAATCAAGAAATAGACATTACTACCAGAAGTCCCCCTCTTGCCCTTTATCGAGAAAGAACCACTATCCTGACCTATATCACCATAGATTTTGTAGATTCCCTTTATCAGGTTAGGGAACTTCTTTTCTATTTCTATTTTTATCATGAATGTGTTTAATTTTATCAAATGGTTTTCTCTACAAGATGATCATGTTTTTTCTCTTTATTAATGTCTGACACAGACAGATTTCTGAATGTTAAATTTACATTGCAATTCCTGGAGTGAAACCACCTTGGTTGTGATATATTATCCCTTTTACATATTGCTAGGTTTGGTTTACTACCATTTTGTTTAAGATTTTTATATCTGTGTTCGTAAGTGACACAGACTCATACTTTTCCTTTATGGTAATATCTTTGTTGAGTTTTAGCATCAGATTGTAATAGCCAAAGTAAGAACTTAGGATTTTATTTTCAGTGTGACAGGAAAGTATTTGAGGTTTTTATATGTGCTGATAAAAAAAAAATCAGATATTAAGACACAAAGAAAGCAATTTATAAAACAGTATAAAATAAGATCACTTTGTGTAAATTAGAAACGTGTGTGTGTGTGCTGCATTTTTAAGTTTTTAGAACTTAAAATGAAGAATTATTGGCAATTGATGTTAACAGGGGTGATGAGGGAGTTTTTGATTTTGTGTTGACATTTTTTCACCATATGTATGCATTACTTTTATTTAAAAATATAAACAAGAAGAGAAAGTACCAAATGGAAAAGAAGAAAATAGAGCAGTTTGTTGACCCTAAAACTCTTTCCCAGCCGGAGTGCAGTAGTGCAGAGTGGACAGTACCTCGTTTGAGGGCTGGCCACTGGACCTTGTCTCTGAAGCAGTTCATCTGTAAAGTGAAGATGATATTGTCCACCTCAGGGCTGTGTAAAGATTTCATCAGCTATTGTGCTTGGCTCATGGTTCTAATCCAATTAATGGGGCTTCTGCAAGCGGTAGTAGCTACAGTATGACAACTACTTGTGTGTTAGAGCGTAGCATAGCAGTAGTGTATGTGTGGACAAATGGGGACTACTAGGTAGAGAAGAAGGTGATAGGGCTCAGATGGGTGAGGGAGGGAAACAGGTAGAGAAAAGAACTTAAGGAGCCGTAATGAAGGCTCCAACTCAACCCCCTTCCCACTCTGCTGGTGCCCCAAGAAGAACTGGAGCCATAGTAGGCCTGGCCAGGGGAGAGCTCACAGACTGACACAATGTCTTAGTCCATTTGTGTTACTGTAACAAAATACCTGAGAATGGATAATTTGTAAAGAACAGAAATTTCTCTTTCTCTCTCTCTCCTTCTTTCTTGTTTCACTCTCGTTGCCCAGGGTGGAGTGCAATGGTGCAATCTCAGCTCACTGCCACCTCTGCCTCCTGGGTTCAAGGGATTCTCCTGCCTCAGCTTCCCAAGTAGCTGGGATTACGTGTGCTCACCATCATGCCCAGATAATTTTTGTATTTTTAGTAGAGATAGGATTTCACCATGTTGGCCAGGCTGGTCTCAAACTCCTGACCTCAGGTGATCTGCCAGTGTCGACCTCCCACGTGCTGGGATTACAGGTGTGAGCCATCGTGCCCAGCCAGAAATTTATTTCTTACAGTTCTGGAGGGTGGGAAGTCCAAGATCAAGATGTTAACAGGTTCAGTGTCTGGAGAGAGCCCATTCTTCATTGATGGCACCATCTAGGTGTCATCACATGGTAGAAGGGCAGAAAATGCAAATGGGGACAATTGCAAGTTTCTCCAGCTCTTTTATAAGGTTGCTAATCCCATTCACGAGGGTTCCACTCTCCTGACTTACTCCCCTCCCAAAGGCTCTACTTCTTAAGACTATCACATTGGCAATTAAATTCCAACACATGAAAATTGGGGGGACAGAGTCAGACCATAGGACACAATGAGAGAGACATACTCAGCCTGGACCCAGAGCTCACAGAGACAATTTGGTATCTGTGGGATGGTTGAGAAAATTGTGGTGGTGGTGGTGAGTATAAGCTGTGGACACAGAAATACCTCCTATGCCCGTAAATTTCACAGTAAGGGAAAAGAAGAATGCTGAATTCCCCAGGGGATTGTCAGTGCCAGCATGCAGTCTAATTTGCATGATTTAAATGCTACATGGTTCATTAATTAAAACTCTTAAGATCGGAAAAAAAAAAAGCAGATACGTAAAATATGCAAGCATATTTTCTTTTTTTTTTTTTTTTGAGACGGAGTTTCACTCATGTTACCCAGGCTGGAGTGCAATGGCGTGATCTCGGCTCACCGCAACCTCCGCCTCCTGGGTTCAGGCAATTCTCCTGCCTCAGCCTCCTGAGTAGCTGGGATTACAGGCACGCGCCACCATGCCCAGCTAATTTTTTGTATTTTTAGTAGAGACGGGGTTTCACCATGTTGACCAGGATGGTCTCGATCTCTTGACCTCATGATCCACCCACCTTGGCCTCCCAAAGTGCTGGGATTACAGGCTTGAG